CAATATCGATTACAAAAATTCGATGCAAGTAAAATCGAACTACTCTCGTAGTGTAGACAAGGCCTGAGACACTATCTTCTTTTGGACCAACTTCTGTTAGTGAGAGAGACAAGCTTTCAAATGTGGCTTGAAATCTTGTCTCTCACCAATAGAAGTTGTTCCTGTAAAAATATTACCTCATCCACCTTGACTCTCTATAGATTTATAGGAAGGACAGTTCTTCCTTCATACCCAGCAGCAATCCATTAACACTAAGGAAGCATAGTGTTGCCTGTCTATTATCTGGCTGTTCTTTTTTCACTGGTAATAGTAGAGCTCCCACTGACTACTGCTGCTCTATCATTCAGAAAAAGCTGTTTGATGCTGATAAATTTGGAATTTTCCTGAGATTTTTCTTAGGATTTCAATTAATCTGTAAAACCCCCAAGAAAATGTAGTTCTGTAGGCCTCCAAAATATTGATCAAAAATTTTATAAGTAAAGTAGTCCCAATTTCTAATTAGATATACATATATAGTTTGCAGTGTTGTAGCCATGTTGGTTCCAGGATATTAGTAAGACAAGTTGTGTGAGGTCAGATTTTTTTTATTGGACCAACTTCTGTTGGTGAAAGAGACAAGCTTTCGAGCTACACAGAGCTGAAGAATAAAATCTTTTATTTTTGTCACTATATATAAGCCAGATATACTAAACGTATAATATATTGAACAAGAAGATGCCATTTTTACTTAATATTTCAGAGTGGAACATGCTTTAAGAAGTTGAATGTTGAGCTCAAGCTATCTGACAGCTACTTTCTACACCTTATATAAATGTGACAAGTTTTAAAGCCCTTTCAATATGTCTTCACCAAGAGAAAAGGAATTGAGAGCTTAAGGCTATGAAGCTGTATTTGTAACATACATAAAAGGGCCTTGTAAGTGGATGAGAAGGATAATTGAACAGTGAGATGTAAATTTTTAGCACGACGCACAGGGATTTAGATGCATTAACATTAGTGGCACTTGATATCTAAATTCTATCACTGAAAATTTACTCCATAGCATTTCAGTTACTTACCAAGTCCTAGTTGAGTATGTATGAGAACCAAGAATAGCTACAAACAGTGATATTTATGTTGAATTTTTGTATGTGGCAATTCATGTTCTGTATAGGTTCTTACACCATGTTCATCACTCTAGCATCTGAGAGCCTTCCAGTAGTGCATTGAGCAGCATGACTAATATTTTTCTGTGTTTATACAGCACTTAGCACAATGGAGTCCTGGTCCCCCTCTTAGTCAGTGCTGTAATACAAAAAATGAATAATAATATCTGTCACAAATTTGTTCTCTCATCTGATTCCCAAGGGAAGAAGTTTATGCAGTGTTTTGTTTTGGAATTTATAAACGTGCGCGCACACAGGTGCGCATACACCCACGCACACATTGGCTATATATTTATCTTACAGATTGCAAGGTTCTAGACATGCACCTTTCACTTAGAGCAGAAAGTGGTGAGGTTTTGGCTCCTGGGGGAATTCATTCCAGTCTTGGGCCAACTCCCGAGAAAATCTCTGTCTCATACACAGATGATTCTGGTCCGTATTGCAGGAAGTTTTATTCTGAATTACTTTCCTAGCATTTTGATATAGTCAGATTTTGTATTTTTATTAAAATTTATTACGTTGTGGAGGGCTTGCACCTGGAACCCACACAGTAACACTGAATATGAAAAGTGTGGTATAGGGGCGTCTGCCCTGTATATTGCAGTGGTGGATTCTGCCACAACTTCAGAAAAGTCCACTTGAAAGGGAGTGTCGGGAATGGATGAGGAACAGCCACTGAACCTACAGTCTCCTCTAGGTGGCACTGCTGGGGAAGCTGTAATTCAGTCATTCATAATGACAAAGAATAGTCCTGGCGTGAGGGGAAGAGAGACAGACAAACCTGGTGGTTAGGGCACTTACCTAGAATGTAGGAGACCAAAGTTCAAGTTCCTGCTTGAAGTGATTATCAATTTCTTTTTTATAAAAAATGGTTACAGTTTCAGCTGGAGAAATTGAAGGAAACCTGCTCCAGAATATCCCATAGGCTAGGACACTCTCCTAAAATGTGGGAGACCCAAGTTCAAACCTTTTTTCCATATCAGGAAAAGGGGGAACTTGAACCTGGATCTCCGTCATTCTTGGTGAGTGCCCTAATCACTGGGTTAAAGATTATAAGGTGGGAGCACGCACACCAATGCTGCTTGGTATCTTAGTCCCACTCCCTGAAAAATTTGGGGTCCAAAACAAGTCAGTGAATTCAAGTCAAATTCATGAATTGTTTTGGGTTGACCAAAACTGCATTTTTTGGCAAATAGGTATTAGGCCAAAATATTTTTGGCCGGTTCTGGTTGTAGGTGGGATGAAGATGCCAGATGTTTTGAAACTGAACTAAAACAAAAATTTGAGTTAGAGAATTTGATGGCCACTGACTGGTGGAATGGATGGGTGAGAGGGGGACAGGGATTTTCTCTAAAATACACTGATTATCTATAATTTTTAGGAAGATTCATGGTGACAGACTTATAAACCAGTGATCAATTTGCCTTTTTAAAGGTTGTTTGCAATAAACAAAACTAACCACTTGAAAATAAAAAGCTGCTTAAAGCACTCGTATTACTTTTTCTGTACTTTGTTATACTTGTTCATGTACTATATTCTCATAACTGAACTCTCTATTTTATTAGATGAGATAAAACTACTGAATGAATGAAAAGCATAAAAATAAAATAGTTCTTGGGGGGGAAAATGACAGATTATAAGGAGCAAGATAATAAGTAACATCTGACCAGAATGCTTCATAAAATATATTTGCAGAAGAAAAAATAAACACTCTCCATATGCATTTAGAAATAATTTTATGAATTATTTTCCAATAGGTGGTCCTACTTACAGAAGGATTAAGTTCTCAAGCAGTCCTTATGCTGGAGTTAAAGAATTTTTTAGAGTCTCTGACTGAGAAACTCTGGTAAGGAAACAGAGAAAACTTTTGTATGTTTTGCCATTTTCTTTGATGAAATTTGCCCTAATGCTGAGGTCCTATACCAGGCCCTGGGTGGACACTGTAAGTCCAATGTTAAGGACTTTAAATATGGCATAGGGGCTTGTTCGGGCCCTCTATGCAGGTGTAAATGTCACCTTTTACTTTTACTAATATGTGTGCCATGGCTTTATTCTGAGTGGATTTATGCCATAGGTAAATTAGAATAGTGGACATTATCTGTCTGAATTTTGAAGATGAAACTTTATTTTCCATAGCATTTGCTATCCCCATTTGCTTTTTATCCTACAAGAATTTGTTATAGAAAAAAATAGAATGGTCTTGGGCCCAAAACAGAGTCCTTTGGGATCTCACTTGATTTGTCTTCTGAACTTGATAACTAATCAGTTGCACTTATTTAAAAAAATATTTTCTGTATAGTCAGTTGCATATTCATCTTATGCTCAATCTGCATTTATCTAACTATGGGGAGGGGCTGTGGAACAATATTCAATGCCTTACTCAAGTCGAAGTAAGTTGACTTACTGAGTCAAATTTTTAGAATGTGGTCTCTCCTTTACTACATGCAGCTTTTTGTAGATGGTGTCTTTCACATATGTGTTTGCATGGTATAATTTTTAGAAATTATAGAATTGACATATACAGACTTCATTTGCACTTGAAGGCTATAATACACAAAAGATTGCACACAATAGCCCCGGGGGCACAAATAGAGGGCAAATTTAGCCCCATTTGTAATCTGATCTGTCAGGTATGTATTTGTTCCTATAACTTTTATCGTGTACCATTTGAAACCACAGGGTGCGCTTACATAACTATTTTAAAAAATACATGTAAAAATATACCTGACTTGACAAATATGGATATTAACCCTTACACACATTTCTCTCTCTCATTCCCCACCACAAGAAAAACCCTCTCTATTTGGCCATACCCTCCAAAAAAAAAAAATCCTGAATAAATACGCTGAGCGTCACAGTACAACCTAAATGTAATCTAAATTTGATACTGTTGGACTAGAGGGAATGCATTCCAGAGCAGAGGTAATTCATCAGAAAATATTAAAGACTTTCCTACCCTCTTTTGAAATCCATCTCTTCCTTCTACTTTATAGAAATAAGAATGGCCATACTGGGTCGGACTATTGGTCCATCTAGTCTAGTATCCTGCCTTCTGACAGTGGCCAGTGCCAGATAATTCCAAGGGGATGAACAGAACAGGGAAAATTCCAGTGATCCATCCCCAGCTTGTGGCACGAGGTTTAGGGACACCATGAACATGGGGTTGAATCCCTGATTAATAGCTATTGATGGACCAATCCTCTGTGAATTTATCTAATTCTTTTTTTAATCCAGTTATACTTTTGGCCTTCACAACATTCCTTGACAATTAATTCCACAGGGTGACTGTGTGTTATGGGAGAAGTACTTTCTTTTGTTTGTTTAAAGCCTGCTGACTATTAATTTAATTGGGTTAAGTTCTTGTTTTATGTGAAGGGGTAAATAGCACTTCCCTATTCACTTTCTCCACACTATTCATGATTTTATAGACCTCTATCATATCCCCCTTTAGTCGTCTCTTTTCTAAGATGAACAGCTCCAGTCTTTTTAATCTCTCCTATATGGAAGCTGTTCTATATGCCTAATAATTTTTATTGCCTTTCTCTGCACCTTTTCCAGTTCTAATACACCCTTTTTGAGGTGGGGCGACCAGAACTGTGATATTGAAGGTGTGGGCATATGATATTTTCTGTTTTATTACCTATCCCTTTCCTAATGGTTCCTAATGTTCTGTTAGCTTTTTTGACTGCTGCTGCATGACGAGCAGATGTTTTCAGAGAACTGTCCACAATGAGTCCAAGATCTGTTTCTTGAGTGGTAACAGCTAATTTAGACCCCATCATTTTGTTTGTATAGTTGGGACTATGTTTTCCAATATGCATTACTTTGCACTTACCAACTTTGAATTTCATCTGCCATTGTTTGCCCAGTCACCCAGTTTTGTGAGATCTCTTTGTAACTCTTTGCAGTCAATTTTGGATTTAATATCTTGAATAATTTCATATAATCTGCAGATTTTGCCACCTCACCTTCTTTTCCAGATCATTTATGAATATGTTGAACACAACTGGGTCCCATTATAGCTCCAGAGAACCCCACTAATTTCCTCACTCCATTGTGAAAACTGAACATTTTTGCTACCCTTTGTTTCCCATCTTTTAACCAGTTACTGATCCATGAGAACTTTCCTTCTTATCCCAGGACTGCCTAATTTGCTTAAGAGCCTTTGGTGAGGGCCCTTGTCAAAGGCTTTCTGAAAGTCCAAATATGTTATATCAACTGAATCATCCTTGTCCACATGCTTGTTGACTCCTCAAAGAATTCTAATAGATTGGTAAGACATGGTTTCCCTTCCTAAAATCCGTGTGGTCTTTTCCCCAACATATCATGTTTATCTGTGTGTCTGATAATTCTGTTTTTTACTATAGTTTCAAACTATTTGCTTGGAACTGAAGTTAGGCTTACCAGCCTGTAATTGCCAGGGCTGCCTAGGGGCCTTTTAAAAAAATCGACATTATGTTAGCTACCCTACAGTCATCTGATACAGAGGCTGATTTCAGTGATAATATTCCTTCCATAGTTAGTAGTTCTGCAATTTCCTATTTGAGTTCCCTCAGCTCTCTTGGGTGAGTACCATCTGATCCTGGTGACTTATTACTGTTTAAATTATCATTTTGTTCCAAAAACTTCTCTATTGACACCCCAATCTGGGACAGTTCCTCAGATTTGACACCTAAAAAGAATGGCTTTCGTGTGGGGATCTTCCCCACATATTTTACAGTGAAGACCAATGCAGAGAATTAATTTAGCTTCTCAGCAACGACCTTGTCTTCTTTGAGTGCTCCTTTAGCACCTCAATTGTCCAGATGCCCCAGTGAGTGCTTTGCAGGCTTCTTGCTTCTGGTCTATTTAAAAAAAAATGCTGTTAGGTTTTGTGTCTTTAGGTAGATTCTTGAAATTCTGTCTTGCCCTGACATATTGTATTTTTACACTTAACTTGCCAGCTTATGCTCCTTTCTATTTTCCTCGTTAGGATTTGATTTCCAATTTCTAAAGGATGCCTTTTTGCCTCTAACTGCCTCTTTTACTATGTTGGTGGCATTTTTGGTTCTCTTTTTTTTTTTTTATTTGGGGCATACGTTTAGTTTGAGCTTCTATTACAGTATTTTTAAATAGTCTCCATGCCGTTTTCAAGCATTTCACCCTTGTGATTGTTCCTTTTAATTGCCATTTATCTAGCTTTCTCATATTTTGTAGTTCCCTTTATGAAGTTAAATGCTGCAGTGGTGGGTTTCTTTGGCATTTCCCCCTCTGCAAAGCTGTTAAATTTAATTACATTATGATCGCTATTATTGAGCAATTCAGCTATATGCACCTCTTAAACCAGATCCTGTGCTCCACTTTAGACTACATCTAGAATTACCTCTTGCCTTGTGGGTTCCAGTACAAGCTGCTCCAAGAAGCAGTCATTTATGGTGTCTAGAAGTTTTTTCTCTGCATCCCTTCCTAACATGACACGCCCCTACTCAGTATGAGGATAGTTGAAATCTCCCATTATTATTATGCCTTTGTAGCCTCTCTCATCTTACTGAGCCTTTCACAATCACCATCACTATCCTAGTCAGGTGTTTCCTACTGCTATACTCTTATAGTCAGGGGTGAAAGTAACATAGAAGACTTACCAGTATGGGGGCTTGGCTCTGGGCCCCCAGAAGGGGCGGGGCCTTAAGTGGAAGGGGTCAGCCTCCCCCAGCCAGCTCATCCGCGCTGCCTGGCCTGCATTGCCCAGGGCTATGGCGGAGATTTAAAAGAGCCTGGGGCGCCGGCCATTGCTGTGGTAGTAGCAGTGGTGGCAGCTGGGAGCCCCAGGCCCTTTTAAATCGCCGGGCCCTGGGGAACCTGCCACTTTTATCCCCCCGCATCAGCGGCCCTGCCAGTAGGGTCCCTACTGGCAGGGCCGCCAACACAGGGGTGGGTGGGCCGTGTTTAAAATGGACAGCGATAAACGTCAGCTGCGTATGGGCTGGTACCAGTAGCCACTTCTTACTGGTACGCCGTACCAGATGTATCGGCCTACTTTCACCCCGAGTATAGATAGTATTCTTGTTCAGTCAAGTTCATTAATGAAAAAATATTACATTTTAGAGATGTTATATCATATGCAAATGAAAAAAGTTTAAAATTAAAAAACAACTGTGTTTAAAATTTTCATTAGTATAAACTATTAAAACAGGTTAAATATTATAACAATAGGCCCTGGTACGCTCTATAAGGTTTGCTCAGATGGAGGTCTACACTCACGCATATCTAATTGCAGAACTGGAGCCATAGAATAGATTTTAATAAAGGGACAGGCTGTTAGCTGAGAGGACAAAGATGGATGCTCTGAGGAAGTTGCAGTGATGTCTTCGCAATCTGTCACTAATGAAACAGGGTATTTATTTAGAGTAAAAATCTGTATTAAAAAAAAAAATCTTTGTTCAGATTTGCTGAGGTCCTCTATGTACAGTTGAAATTAAAGAATTACAAAAACATTTCATTTTTTTGGTTTTCTTTCAACCATCTTGGTGCCTAAAATGATGTTATGAACCTCTTATGGAATTAAGTTACATGCAGCAGGACAGCATGGTGTTTGGTCTATATTGAGTATGTTGATTATTTCAGTTTAAACCTTATAAGGCACCCATACACCATAATGATTGATGCCAAACAAATACTTGCTGAAAACAATAATAATAAAAATAATAAAGTGGTAAGAGTGGAAGAACTACCTAGTCAAAGAATTCTGGTGTCCCTAATGCAAATTTATTACTCGATTGCAACCTAAGAGTAATATAATACATTACTGTTGCAACCTCAACAGTAATGTATTATAAAGCATTCTGTTATATGTTGCAGTGTAAGCAGTCTTTGGATTTGCAAGTGTTAAAAATAAATGTAAATGTGAGACGTCTTACCTCTGCTGCAGTGTTCTACCCCTTTTAGCCAATCAGGATTCTGAAATATCCTAAGAGATTAATAAGATTAGTGCTTAGGGTATGTCTACACTACGATGCTTATACTGGCATAGCTACGTCAGTGTAGCTATGCTGGCATAAATCTGTAGTATAGGCGCAGCCTACACTAATGGGAGAAGTGTTTCCAACAGTGTAGGAACACCACTTCCCTGAAGTTAGCTATCTGGATGGAAACATTCTTCCATCGACATAGCTGCATCGACGCTGGGGTTTAGATTGGCAAAGCTATGTCAGCCAGGGACTGTTTTATTTCCACACCCCTGACTGACATAGCTATGTCAATCTAACTTTAAAGTTTAGGCAAAGCTTTATATTTCTTAGGAACAGTAGGGGATCCTGAATGCCTGTTAGTAAAGATGTGATAATTAAAAATAAGAGCTAGCAGAGAATTAGATGGGGGAACATTAGGGTTTCTTAAATATTTCAAAGGATCAAAGAACTTCTATAGCACGTTGTTATCTAGCCTAAACTGTGCTTTCCAAACATACTTTTGAAATCTGTATTCAGTTTATCTATCTAGTATGTCTAAATATAAATGCATCTCTGATTTATAAAGAGGCTTGCTTTAGTATCTACAAAATCTGCATTGACATAACCCAACTGGAAAAAAAAAACGTGATTTCTTCAAAACTTAAAAATAGATCTTGCTTCAGATGCTTACCTTTTGAATCTTTACCAAATGAGTTGTGATTGCAAATATTGTTTTGTGTTGCTTCTAGTACAAATTTGAAACTGTACATAATATAGCTTTACTATATATATGAACATATATGTATGCATATTTTTTTTAAACACAGGTCTTTACTTGACTTTGAAAACCATTCCTCTGAAGTACTAGTTGCCTGAGCTAAACTTATACAAATGATTGAAATATGTCAGGCCCTGAGAAACAGACTGCAAAGAAATCAAGTAAGTTGTTACTATATCAGGATTTTACTTTAACTTCTCTTGTTTTGTTCACTTATTGTTTAAAGTTTAGGTTGTGGGTTGTTTGTTTGTAGTTATCATAATTTGGATTGCACTTTTAAATACTCATTGCCATAATAAAAAGTTTCACAAAAAATTTCCTTGACTTCTGAGTTGATTTTTAGTTTCCAGCAACATTTTGATGATGTAGGAAGGAAACAGTTAACTTTCTGCAGGGAAAAAAGAGAATTTCCCCTTCCAGAAATCAAACAGAGGTTTTCGTTTTGTATCTTTACATCACCAAGTAATAATGTTACTTTTGTTAAGATGCTTGGCTTTCAAAAGGGTAGGCATGTAATATGAACATAAGAACGGTCATACTGGGTCAGGTCCATCTAGCCCAGTATCCTGTCTTCCCAAAGGGGCCAATGCCAGGTGCTCCAGAGGTAATGAACAGAACACATAATCAAGTGATCCACCCCTGTCACCCATTCCCAGCTTCTGGCAAACAGAGGCTAGGGACACCATCCCGGCCCATCCTGGCTAATAGCCATTGATGGACCTATCCTCCATGAACTTACCTAATTCTTTTGTGTACCTTTGTGTAATCATTATAGAGATTGCCAAAGATATTGACTATGGTAGACAACCCAAGAGCAATGGCATGTGTAAATTGTTAGTGGGAACACAATCTTCCTTGTAGTCTATCTTACCCAACAGTTAGGGAGAACAAAACATATAAAGCAGTGGTTCCCAAACTTCAACAACCTGTGAACCCCTTTCACTAAAATGTCAAGTCTCGCGAACCCCCTCCTAAAAATGAATATTTCTAGGGATTTTCTCCTTTATCTGAGTATAAATTATAAAAGCAGTGATCTGGGAAATATAAAATTTGTTTTTATGACATGCATATTACACACTATTTATTATTTATTATTATTTATCATTACAGTATTTTTATTACATTATGAAAATGGTGACACTCTTCAAATATCTCACTTTCGTAGCTTGTATCACTTTGAATAAGCCTGTTATAAGACAAGGCTCCTATGTTTCATCAAGGAGTATCAAATATGAAACATCATGAAGGTATTTAAGAAGCCAACTCAAAGAGTTCCTCCTACACAAGCATTCAGGTCTTGAGCAGTCCAGGCAAACAATGCACATTACAACAAAGCTTAAACTTGTTTTTCATAATAATTAAAAAAAAAATACTAGCTGCCTATTTAATTTTAAAAACACCAAAAAATATCCACCTCCCTTTCCATTTCTTAAAAGGAGTCTTGAAGTTTAAATCTCCTCAGTATGATAGATATGATTGCTTTGATCTGCTTAGCTCGTGGAAGTCCAGTGACTCCGTGCTGCTGGCCCCGTGCTGCCCAGGGTCCCTAGGGACAGCTCTGTCCGCCATTATGGAATTTTTTCCCGAGAACCCCCTGTAACATTTTGCGAACCCCCAGGGGTTCACAAACCCCAGTTTGGGAACCACTGATATAAAGTATTCATAGCAAGACAGATATAAGCATCGCAGCACATTGCATACGAGAAATCACCTTTCATTTGTGGATTGAGAAATATCCAAACATTGCAAACATTTATGCACATGCTTAATTTTAAGCATGTGAGTATTTTCACTGTTTTCAGTAGGACTGCCCATGTGTTTTAAATTAAGTACATGGTTCTCTTTACATAATTTCATTGAATAACTGGATATCCAAGTATATGCATGACTTCCTGAGCCTGGAGGATATTACAGAATATAATGCGTCTGAATCTATTAAGTCTAAACCTGCACATTTGTATATAGTCCATAAATTAAATATATCCCTCCCTAAATGATTAATTACATCTGGTAAAATACCAGACTGATGGTGGTTGAATGTAAATGAGAGGAAGAAAGGAATCATTTGTTCCCACAGAGCTAGGTAAATACTGGAAAAGATATTTATGATTATTTGTTCAAATTCACTTTAGCATTTGTGATCCCTTTAACACCTCCTTTCCATGAATATTAGTATGAGGGCTTTGTTTTGTTTGTTTGCAAAAATGTTCACTGGAAGAAAAGGTGGCTGGAATACTCATGTGTGTTAGCACAAACCTTCATGCCACAAATGACTAATTCGAGCCCTCTGTCTTTAACAGAAGTTGTAGTCATCTAATTATGGAGTAGGAACTATAGCATACAACTTAGGTTAATGATCACACAAGGCAAATACAGTAGATTCAGCTTATTAGCAACCCCTTAATTGCCAGCAAAATATTGCCTTTGTCCAGCAGTTGCAAATGAGCAGAAGGTAGGTTTCTGGGGCTGTAGCCAGGAAGGAAGTACGGAGATGTGCCTTCCCTGGTTGCAGACCTGCAAACCTTCCTGTCGGCAGGGTAGCTGCAGGGAGGAGGGCTGCTGCCTGGATGCTGGGGCTTTCTGTGGGGAGCCAGGGTGCTGAGTGCCTGCAGAGGTATACAGTACTTCTCCCTGTGCTCTGCAGGGATCAGAGCTCAGCATATCCCCAGTGCTTTCTTCCCTGGGTGCAGCCCTCTGACAGGGTGCAGCCTGAAGACTGCAGGGAGCCTGCAGCCCCTTACCTCCTGGTCCTTGTGAGCAAGTAAGTTTGTGGGGCTGCAGCCAAGAAGGCATGTCGCAGCTCTTCCTTCTGTGGCTGCAGCCTTGCAAACCTGCCTGCAGCTAGGGCTGTTCTCCAAAAAAATTGTTCTTAATAAGCAACATGCCATTGCAAATCTCCAAATCCCATTAACATTAAAGTCAATGGGATGGGATTGTTCTTGGCAATCGGTTGCTATTAACTGGAAGTTGTTAATATACAGGTTGCTATTAAGCAGAATCTACTTTAGATACAGAAAAGACTAAAAAAAAAAAAGTTTGCAAGCAATTTATAGATTGAAATTTGTTCCCATTAAAGGTTTGTCAAATAATTGTGACTGAACAAATTTTGTAAAAATGAGTCAACGCATGGATAATTTGTAAACAAAATTGAGGGCTGAATTTACTGTGTACATTGTTTTTTCTATGAATAGTTAGACCATCTCTACGTTTTAGTAGAAATTTTTCATTCTTTAGTTGTCCATCTCCAGCTACTTGACCTTTCCCTCTGGAGAAGAAAATGTTCATTGTTACCCAAAAGAGAGCTTTATGCAAAAAATGCAACTCATATATAATCTACATTTACAGCTTCTGAAGTAATCAAATCTGGGAAGATTTTTCTTCCGGAATCAATTTTAAACCCCAACAGATGGTACAAAGATTTGCTCCAAATCACAATAGAGAGACTGGAAGGAGGAAAAATCCCAGTCTCAGGATTAATTGGATATGGATAGTTGGATGATAAAAAAATAAATTTTGTGTTCTTACTAGAAGAACAGGAGTACTTGTGGCACCTTAGAGACTAACAAATTTATTAGAGTATAAGCTTTCGCGGGCTACAGCCCACTTCTTCGGCTGCATAGAATGGAACATATATTGAGGAGATTACACACACACACACACACACACACACACACACACACACACACACACACACACACACA